ACTTCACATTCATAACACAAGGCTTCTCGAGCGAGTTAACTACAGAGTGGCACAATAACAATAAATAGAAGCAATTTCGGTGAAGATATTCATTGTGACAGCTGTGCTGCTTTGGGTTTATAAAAAACACAACCATTTCAGTTATATTTTGCAGGTGCATCATGCTTCTAATGTGCTTGGTTGAGGACAGCATCTGAACTTACAAATTGTGTTTATATGGGTTAAAAGTTCCAGTTAAAAGTTATTGATTTTACTGGGCGCCTTGCTGCAGCGGCCCAGGGTTCGAATCCGACCTGCAGTCCTTTGATGCGTGTCATCCCCTCTTTCTGCCCCCCTTTTCTGTCTGTCTTCAGCGGTCACTATCATAAAGGCAATAAAAGCCCCAAAAAATATTTAAGGAAAAAAAATTATTAAAAAATTATATAGGAAAAAAGTTATTAATTTTACACAAAGCAAGCAATATATAGCCACTGCAAAAAAAGGCTATATTCAGCTGTCAAACACACTAATCTAAATTGGATTGGCTTTCAATGCACATCTACTTTAGGCTAAGTGGTCAGAGAGGAGTGACATCATGTAGGTAAAGATAAGAGAGGGACTGTACTGGCAAATACACAATAATAAATATTTTATTAATTTCCAGTAAAAGCACTAATATTCTTTCTTAAACTTACCTTCTTCTCATCCAGCAGCATCATCACTTTGAAGAGGAGGACATCATTGACCACAACCTCTTCATTCTTGTACAGGATTTGGAAAGTTTTGCTGCAGATGACATCATCTTGGACTGAAGCAGGAAACGCCAGATCGGAGCCTTGACAAAAAACACTATGATTAACTGTGTAAAATAACAATCAGGTCATTATAGCCAACCTGTCCACATTAGAATTCTCTGTATAACCTTTAGAAACACATGATCTGGTGCTGTGACCTGACCAGGAACTGAACCACCAGTATGGCAAGTTTTGTTACACATGGCTGTTCAAAGATGGAGGGAAATCTAGATTAATTTTTCAGATCCAAATATATAAATGAGCCACCCTACAGGTAATGATATTCTCATTAACTGTGCCAGTACTTATCTGCCAAAGTATATCTTATTAGGGCTATTTCCCATCAACTCAACTCAACAAGATTCACAAGTCATAAAAATGGAAAAATAAAACATTTAAGCATGGGAGTTACACACCATTGACGATCCTGTTTATTTACAAAACAAAGAATTCAGTGCTTTGTGTGAAAGGAGCACTGCAGCTCTCTAAGCAAAGGGGTGAGGCACAGACACAAAGCCTGAGAGAAATGCTGAGAAATACAGAGAACAAGGAGTGGCATGTGAGCTGCCTGCCAGCACAACAATAAGTAAACCAAATCTGCAATAACAACTATTTCCTTGAAACAGTGCTAAAATCTCAGAGCTGAAAGGAAATTCAAGTAAACATGCAAGTCGGAACTCAGAAGAACTAGTGTGACTGAATTAGTGTCACCTGCATTTACAGAGAAACAGCACACTGATAATGAAAGCAGCAGTGTTACTTTATGCATACTGCAGGCTACTAAAAATTTACTTTAATGGCTTTAACTTAGGAATTGAGGGGTAGGGGGCAGAGCTTAGGGTTGACCAACTGCATCCGCAAAGTGCACCTGAATCCTTTCAGAGTACAGGAGAGGGTAGTGTTGTGTGGGTAGATTCAACCTTGTGCACAAAAATAATAAATGTTGTATGAAAAAAAACTGTTTATATGATACACATCTTCAAAAATGTATTTACCTCCCGGATGAAGTAGACTGGTCTCAACTTTGTGTGGGACCCGGGGTGGCACCTTTAGACTGGCACGAATCTGGTAGAACCTGAAAATGCAGCCAATTTTAACAAATGAATACAGTTATGAAAAACTAGCACTTTTAGCTTGGCCCAGAGCATCACTAAAGCCTTGGTGAAAGGGGAACAGACTGCACGGGTTATCTACAAGTGCCTCTACTTGTAAAATGACACTACACCCTTCATAAATGAATAATGAGCACTTTCTTTTGCAGTCACTCATGTGGTAAACCTGAGCTCTTAAAGCAGTGATGAGGCGGGGGCATATAGCAGGAGTTTAATCCAAGCAAAGTGAAGTATCATTACATTGCTGCAGTAAAAAAGAATTTTCAGATGTTAAAGACTTTTTGAGCTGTGCAGCTTAAACAATGCAACACATGTTTGCTCCTTTCCATAAAACATGGCAATTCTGTGTTTGTTGGACACCATGTTGGGTGTTTTTTAAAAAAGAAAAGGGTAGTCTGGGCTGTAACTTGTTTCCTGTAGAAGAGCATAAAAGCCTGTAAGTGACAGCTACATGGTTTATTCAGTGTTATATGCTATGCAACACTGGAATGCAGCTCAGTCCTACCAAACAATAATAGTCTGACATGATTATTTGTGGAGACCAGCTGTCTGTGATATATTACTCGACAGATCCATCATTTAGCTAAAACATGCCTTTCTAACAAATCTATATAATATCGGATTTCCGTGCCAGACCTTTGTTGTACATTAAATACTATAGTTGTTCCAATACCAACACAGTTCTGAATAAAGCAAATTGGCTAATCTGAGTTTCAATCCAAATGTTATTTTGTTGTCCTATTTAATTAGTCATTATTATTTACAGTATTATCTTGCTATAAAATGACTCTAAGGACAGCATTACAGAATCTGTTTATTTATTCATGTTCTGTTTGATTAAATATGATGTACTTTATGTCAATTAAATGTAAATTGTATTATCCCTGCAGCTTTAAATTAAGTGAGTCACAAAACAGAAGCCCATTGCCTGTGCTCACTTGATACACTTTGCTGCACTTTTAACAACTTTTCTTAAAATTCTTAAAAAAAGTTATTTACTGGGTACTTTTTTGAATACTGGCAAGTTAATGTAAAAATCTACCCTTGCATCTTTACCTCTGAAATTCACTGTGTCATATAAGAGAACCTAATCATCAAACAGAAACTGAGAAAAGGTAAGCAAATACAAATATATAAAATAGTATACTTAAGCAATGTTTAAAATATTCTATGCTGTCTGGACAAAGAGCATTTGTTGAGCACCTGAAGGTCTAAACAAGATTGTCAATTATTCCAGATTGGCTGGGACACTCACAGAATACATCTTGGTCCCCCTTCTACCACAAGTTGAAAACCAAGTGTTGTTCAAGTCCTTCCAAAGAACACCATCACAGCTGACCCATTTTTAATTAGCAAGGTAAACTTGTCTGTAACGTATGCTTGTGAAAGATATTTCTTTGGTTGAGCATTAAATAACTGCCACGGTGCCACCAGCAAAAAAACACATGCCAAAAAATATCACACAATATTAGTTCTCTAGAGACAATACTCACCCTCTTTGGAACAGGTCCACATTGTAGAACTTGTGGAGCTCCACAGAGAACTCCACGGTGGCCTGGACTTCAGTCATATTGGTCTCTACAGGCAGAGATGCCTTACATCATCTGGGATACACCTGTTGGCCTACGGGTAAAAGTAATAAAACATGTCATTTCAGCGCCTCCAAACTGGTTAAAATACAGTATTCCACAAGAGACATACTGCCAAATACCAGACTGGAACTTATACGGTAAAATGATCCCCCAAGTCACAAAAAGCCAAGACCGAGTCCGATTATCTTCAAAAATCAGAAGCCAACAATTACAATAAAACACCAGCAGTAGTCATACAGTCACAAGATCAAGCTTAAGAATATGAAGGACTTGAGTTATGGTCGACTTTTTAGGGGAATTAATAGTAGGGCATGAGATCTACATTTGGCATAGGAGGCATTCTGTCCTCTGGGCATAAGTACTGAACAGCACAGACAATTATAGCAGTAGTATGAGAGGATAAGGGAAAATACTATGAATAACATCACATAAATAGGCCTGAAATATAAGATCACCAATTGGTAGTGTTACAAATAAACACAGACATCTGCGTCAGTTAATGAAAACGTTTTAGCTCAAGATTTATTTAGACCTAATTTAAAAAAAAAAAAAAGCCATATAGTTTTTTTTGGCTGTAGTAGGGGAAACCTAAAACTGGCAAAAACAATCATACAGACGCTCCCTAAATTAGTCATGTATGAAATGAATAAATCATCCACTGGGAGACAACATGTCATTGTGTTCATGCCAGTGAAAACCAATATGAGACACAAACGGCCACCCTGAATTTGACCTGGTTGACACGGATGCCTAATGCACAGCAAATAGAGCCAGGTTACGTTAATATCTAAATATGCCTCCCTTCCTAGAAGAAATGATCCTTCAAAAGGGCACGACACAGAGGACCAATACAAGGACACTACTAATTAAATAAATTATGACGCATTTATGTTTTAACTTAGGGTGTTAATTCCCTAAACTACGCCACTCTTACAAAATGTGACAGAAATTATTAGTTAGACAGACGATTTAGTCGTATGAATCAAGCAACCAAGTACAATTTCTACAAAATCATTATGAGTTTTAAAGTCGTCCGAGTCTTAAACCAAGAGAATTGTCTAAATATGTAACACTACACTTCAGTAAAGGCAATTAATAATGATTACATTAAAGGTGAAATAAGGCGTTGACTGTTTTGAATATCGATACGTCTGTGCATAACCTTACAACGCAAACTTGTAAAAGGTAACAAAATTGTTATTTGTAAAAAAAAAAAAAATTTCCCTAAGCAAACTCCGGCTACTGCTAATGAGGAAATGAAACGTGCACTTAAAGACAATTCAAGCAAACAACCCACTTCGGAGAAAGTAAACATTTAGCATTAGTCGTATTAAAAAAAAAATATATATATATATATATATATATATATATATATGACAAGGCCTTAGCAGACATCTTTACAAAAGGGGAACTTGAATGTCAAGAGCGAAAACCCCCCTCAAATCGCTACAGACTACTTTAGAAACAGCAGTTTCTCAATCTTAGCTTCACGGTTTTGATGCTATTACCAGAGTGAGCGAGGTGGTGAAGCTCCCAGCTGGTGGGCTCAATCTCGGCAAGGGTATCCTCAAGAGTTACAGGTGGGACGCGATCAAAACATTCTGCTAAGGGCCCACAAAAAAAGGTCGGAAAAGGCTCCGACAAAGACACAACATAACATACTTATAAAAACGACCCAAAAAAAAAAAAGTCTCGCTTGACAGCCAGTCAGTTAATGGTGCCCGTTAGCGTAACGTTAGCCACCCAGCGAACAGTTGTCACCGGGGCTAACATTAGCCGCACAGGCTAGCGGACGCTACTCACCATTGCGTTGGCGAGCTAACATTAGCTAGCTAACCAACGTTAGCTCCAATTTCAGTTCTCTCGTCGTCCTTTCGCTGCGAAGTGCTGACAGAAAACACCACCGTGCTGACTCTTTCACTTCCCAGTCTGGCTAACGTTATAGGAGAGACGCCCTTAGAATGACACATAGAGTAGACTGGTCGTGTATCTCTCATTACAGTGCTGTTCGCTAGCCATCGAGCTAACTGTGCCTAAACCTGAATGGCTGACAGCAGGCGCTGCTCCAGCTGCACGCTTACGAGCATCTAACTGCGCGTAACTGCACATACCAGAGGCGCAGTTAGACGCCGCATGCAAATTTGCTACCTGTACATTGAACATTGAATAGCTGAATACATGCAATAATGTGCAACAGTAATAATCATTATTATTAGCATTATTATTGTATATCCCAATTATGCTGCCTAAAGTTTGGCCTTATTTAATCATCACCTCTTGTGACACAATATGCATGTTTTATGAGTAGGTTAAAAAAGTGTTTAAGAATTACCACTACTATCCAAGGTTGTAGGCCCATTGGGTTGGCCGGTAAGGCGGTGTAGGTTTATTTATTTGTGATTTATTTGTGTCTTGAGCTTTGTTTTATTCTTCTCTCTTCTGCAGACCTACTGTGAATTGTTTGCCAACCTGCCAACAAAAGAGGACTTTAGTGCTGTTCCCTACAGTATGTATAGTGAGTTATGGGTGTAATAAGTGCAATATAAGTAATCAGTTCTTCTAAAGGGCCCAATCAATTTAGAACTTGAAACAAGTGAAAACTAGCAGGATATAGGGAGAAAATGTGAGGGAGGGACATTCATGTACAGTTAGCAGTTTCATTTGTTATTTCCCCGTACTAACACTTCCAAAAACGTTTGAAAGCTGGGCTTCCTGGTAATCAACACAATGTATTTCCATTGATTTTGGATGTTATCACAGTAAAGTCCTTCACCTTGTTTCAGGAATTGCCTCCTTAAAAAAGGATGAGTTTGCCTCTCAGTCTGACAGAGCAAACACAGCTTGAATTGCCTCTTAGTCAGCATCTCTTGATTCTCAGTTTGGACTGCACTGGAAACAATGCTGTCTGAATACCGTGCAACCATAGAGCGCACAAAGAATGTAGATCCCAAGAGTGCTGGGCAAATAAAGCAACCACAGGATAACAGCTTCTTCACAGCTAATTTACTTGATATTTCTTATGGTATACAATCATGAAAATACAAATGGGAGACAATACTGTGATTGTGCACTTGAAGAAACATTAACATTAAATCCAAGGTGGGTGCAGGAGAACTCCAGTGGAATGTAAAGTTGACACTGTGGAGACTGTTGACTCACTCCCCCAAATAAATGACAACAGTCAAGCCTATAAGAGACCCCTCACTGTGACCTGAAGTTTTTCACTCCTGCTGAAGAAGCAACTGTCCAGGGTCTTGTTCTCTCCTGGGAGCCAATCTGTAGAAACATCCAGCAGCAGGTGTTTTTATTTTATTTTATTTTATTTTATTTTCCAGATCAAGCTATGAAATGGGTGCAGTCAAAAGGTAAATCATTTACTGAGTTGTGACCGTGTGCAACATGTAATTGATGCCAGTATTGCCTATAATAATAATTCTATAATGACAGCCAAATGCAAACAAATACATTTCTCACACAAAATGCATGATAAGGTTTTTTTTCTGATTACATTCCAGGAATATCCTTCTGTACACATTGTGCTGCTGCTATGTGATCCCACAATACCTTTGCACAGGACTTCACTCTCAGAGTAAGTAGTCTTCTGCACTGCAAGGTTCAAATGTTGAGATAACGATGACAAAGGAAGACAAAATAATTTGAACGTTTCATAAAAAAAAAGCATTGAAGTAATAGAATTACCGGTGCAGTGCATTGCTGCAGAGGTGAGTCATGTCCTCTTGCATGCCAGTTATTAGTATCAGTCAACCCACCACACTCTATATGTTGTTCTACTGGTTAGTTTCTACTTGTGACCGTTGTTCCTCTTAAATGAAGCAGTTTCTCTGTGCTTGGCATGTCTTGTGGCATTCGTTCTGCTTGACATGTGTATTGCAGTTGCAGTAGCAGTGCAGTTTTTCTTTAATACATATACAACGCGGTCTATGGCTCTCTGTTAGCTGTTTCGTGTTGCAGAGCACATTTATTCCTGAATATATGGCACTTATTATATGACTGCATGAGGCGTTTACATTATTTTATCTTCCCTCCATATACACTGCTGCTCTTATCTATATTTTATGACACATGTCCTGTATGGGTCTGTGTAGCAGCACTAACATTGCTGGGTTAGGGAGTCCTGCTGTGCGCCTTATATAGATCCAACTGTGCACTAAATGGTAATACTGAATAAAATGCTCTAACAAATATAATAATGACAAAGCATCAAAATATAATATTACAGTATCAACCCGAGTCATACATTTGAACAGTGTCAGATGTTTAATGAAATGGCTTGAGAACGGAAATGGAGACAGGAATGCTGTGTTGTATGTGAACCATTTATTCAAACTTGATAAAGACCTTTAACTTCCTACCCAGATGAGTGAAACAGGAAAATCTAGAGCTTAAGTGTTAAAGGGGAAACCACAAACAGTAAGAGATAGCCTAATATTTATTCAAGGCAGTGGTGCAGCTTTCCAAACACTGAGCTTTTATTCCCTCCCCACAACACACACACGCACACACACACACTCTTCGACTACTAACCGGCTGCTTTCTGTTTCCATCTTGCAGCTGTGAGATTTTCATCTCAAGTTGGTATTCATAGGGAGCAGCAGTCCATGTGCCCTCAGATCAGCGTCGGGGAGGATCATTTCCCAGGTGGAGTCACAAAAACTAAGCACAGTTTGATTTTTTATTTGCTTGACATTTGCCCTCCCCACTGCATAAAGAAAAGAACTACATAATATAAATTCAGTTCAATTCAATTCAATTTTATTTGTATAGCACCAATTCATAACAGAAGTTATCTCAGGACACTTTACAAATAGAGCAGGTGTAGACCGAACTCCTTATAACATTATTTACAGAGACAAGTACCACTATGAGCAAGCACTTGGCAACAAGGGCAAGGAAAAACTGCCTGTTAAAAGGCAGAAACCTAGGACAGATCCTTCGGCTCTAGGTGGGTGGTCGTCTGTCTTGACCAGTTGGGGTGAAAGAGAGAGAGAGAGAGAGAGAGAGAGAGAGAGAGAGAGAGAGAGAGAGAGACAGACAGACAGGTGCACAGCAACAACAGTAGCAACAACTACACTAATAGTAGTGACTGATGATGATGAACATGACAACAGCAACGATGCATCCTATTAGTTCTATGTAATATATTACAGTAAAACGTACAAACATCAGGCAGATGCTGTTTGTTTGTGAAACTGGTGAAACTGTAAAATATCATCTTACACCAAAAAAAAAAAGTCTATTTTCAAAAGAAACATTATAGCAGCACCATAATAAGAATTTAGGTTTTGCACCATAGGATCTATCCAAGGTCTTGCATGACTTCTAAGAGGATTTTGTATTTAACCACTCTTTTTCCCCCTGTACACTTAGGCTTTTATATTATGTCCCAGTTCCACATTGCTGAGCTGGCAAGAAGGGGCACTGTTAAAAAGGTTCCTGGATCATCTCCTCAGCATGTTGCTTATCAAATAGGCCCAACCTTCAACTTCAGAATCAACACGAGGTAAGCTGCAGGGCGTTTTAAATGGAGTTATATGAGTGAACACTGACACCTAGTGGCTGAGCTGGCATAACACCATTCACCCTGTCCATGGTGCTGAACATCAAACATTGGCCTTATCTGCACCATCACATTCCTTCATTAACATCATTTATTAAGATATTACACAAATATAAAGTTTATTGTGATAATTTTACTGTTATAAAAAGAATATAGTGGACGATTAATGGCCAGCACACAGCAGAGTATCCTCATGAATCCTACTTAGAATATTGATTTTTAATCAAAGATGTAAACTGGATGTTTAATAAGAGCCCATCCCTTGTGTTTTAGGTCAGCTTATCCGCTGGGACTGCCAGAGGAGTTCGCATTTGTGGCTGTTCTGCGCATGAGTGGCCGCACCATCAATAAGAACTGGAATATCTGGCAAATGCAGGATGTGAATGGCAATGAACATCTGGCCGTCAGGCTCAATGGGGAGTCTAAGTCACTGGAGTTTACCTTCACAGCGTTGGACACCGGAGAGAGGCAGACAGTTGTCTTCAGCCCTCTGGCTTTTCTTTTCAATGAGCAGTGGCACAAAGTCCTGCTTGACGTCAGCAGGGGCTCCGTGTCCCTTTTCGTGGACTGTGTCCTGATCGGTTCTCAGAGTACACCACCCCGACAAAAAGTCAGTCTGGATGGCTTCACGTTGATAGGAAAGCTTAAGGACAACCCAGTGATGGCAATTCCGGTACGTTTCTTGTAGGACTGAGAACAACTTTTGCAATTAAAGAAATTATATATAATAGTTATTAATATAATAATATAAATGTCTGAAATCTTACAACAATAATAAAGTTCAGGCACTCTCAGAGTCCCAAAACGGCCCCTGGACATCCCAGCAGTAAATCATCAAGGGCAGGATATGATTAACTGTAGATTTTACCAGTGTGGCATATTTTCTGACTCACTAACATATAATGACATTATTATTTCTCATTATTTAAAAAATATTGCTCCAATTGTATTGTTTCATTCATTTTTTTATAAAGAGGAACCCCGTGTTTGTCTGTCCTTTCACATTAAAGTACATCCTCCTTTGAAGGGTATATTTTTTCCCGATCAAAAATCGCGTAAAGTTGTTGCAGCAGTAGTTAAATTAACTCTGTGAAAAGAAAGACTATCAAATGTGACACTGTATGTGCTATAAGCTCAGGATTTTCTACTTGTTCCCCTCAGGAATCCTTGACATGCAAACGTTTAGGAATCCCTGTCTTTTCTTCTCACCCTCCTCTTTGGTTTGTCTGTGACAATGTTGGGCAGTTCAAGCCCGCTGTCTCTCCATTCAGGCTTTGCTGACAAATATGTGGAATTTGTTGCAGCTTCTGGTGAAGAATACGAGCTGTGCACAGGCTAAAACCATCCTAAAGTATCACACCACGCATATCAGGTGGTGGATGGTTTCCAAATAATCCAGCGTTTTTGCTGTGCACGATTACGCACGAAAGCGCATCCTAATATGAGTTCACATTTACCACCTTTAACTGCTTCATAACTTGTATATAAGCTTTTAAAGCCTACGGGAATGTTTCCATAATAAGTCCCAGACAAATGGTTGTGCAAACACAGCCTGCTTCTAAATGTTATTAATTGAAACAGCCTCTTGATCTTGGGACACTGTGGCGATACAGGGGTGTGGAGCTTTAACACACTTGTTCCAGCTTTAGGGCGCGGTACTGTACATATGTTATGGTGATATTGTGCTGATTTATTATTTCCCTTCATTTATTTAACAAGTTTGAACTCCAGTCAATGCTGATTCACTGCGACGTGACGAGAGCCCGGACAGATGCTTGTTATGACCTCCCAGCCAGGACATCGGTAAGAACAATTCAAATAAAATCATGAACAACAATCTGTAGTTTCAGGTGTCAGACCATAAACTTTAAGCATTGGTTTAGCTGGATGAGCCTGAATTATGGGAAATAAAGCAACATCCAAATACTGTGCGTAAAAGCAACAGTTTTTTGAACAAAGCAAACTTACATTTTCGGCCCTAAAATATAGTTTGAATACAACTATTTCTGTCGTAGCAGAGGTTAAATAACCCGCTGACCCTGTCTATTGGTGGTGTCTGCGCCTTGGCCCCTCCCCGCGGTGCCCCCCCTGCAAACCCTCCAATCCCTTCCTGTAACCAAAAATTGTATGAATATACATGAGCCCCTGATGGCTATGGGACCTCGGACGGTCTAGATAGCTGAAGCGGATTCAGTTGGGTTGTTTTGTCGGGGGCTCCTTCAACCCAACAAATCCCAGTGAAAGGACTTACAACTTTTACCTTTCCTGTCCACGGGGAGATCATGGCTCGGGCCCCCGGCGTTAGAGGGCCACTTCTGGTTCTGCTCCTGCAGCTTGTCCTTATCTGCTCCGCTCAAGTAAGACTAATTGTGTTTTTCTCTCTTTGGTCTCTCTCTTTGTCTCTAGACTGATGTGACAGAGGTGCAGGTGAGTGTGTTCATGCTAAACAGCAAAATCTGTTTTATCTTCAATTTAGTCCAGACGCTCAGACTGATTTATCTAGTAAATTTATTGGACATCTGTCACGGAAAAAAGTCAGGAATGTGACTTTTGTTTGGAGTCTCCTTTTTAAACTTTTCCTTTTGCAAAGTGCTATCTAAAGCTGATGAATTCTGCAATCAGAAAACAGTTCTATTGGCTGTATGCTATTTCAGTGTATTTCTGTATCAATGTCTTCTAGCAGCATACAATAAGGCAGTGCACCTGTTCAAATTTTTTCATGTTGTCTGTGTAGCAGTGTAATCAATCAATATCAGAAATGTCTAAAATTGATAGGGTCGTTTTCAGACATTTAAGTGTATATTTTCTCATTATATTATTATTATTTTACTCAGAGGACCCAAGGACCTCCTGGCCCTCCCGGACCTGCAGGTGTCCCAGGAATTGATGGCGTTGCTGTAAGTGCTCCCAGTCCTGTGACATTGTCCTCAATACTTTAGTTCACCATTTGCTCACCTAAAATCATTGAATCTTTTTTATTTCAGGGTGAAAGGGGAGAAGATGGGGAGGATGGTCTTCCTGTAAATATGACATTTAATAAACAATTTAACAACAATTTAGTGATGCATTGCTTTTTAATGTATGGCTTCTCACTGAATTATGTTTGCATTTAGGGACCTGATGGAGATGCAGGTAAACCCGGCTCCTCAGGATTACCTGGAATTCCTGGAAATGATGTGAGTACTCTGTGTTTCATATTTTATATGTTTGGTGTTAACTGCATTAGTCAGGTTAACATGAAAACCACAAACCCACAAGGGGGTGGAACTACAAAGTTTGGTCCTCCCACCATATAGGTTATGTTCACACTATTTGTCGTAGAGTAACCAATGAAATTTCAGATTTAGCAGGGGATCTTGGGGAAATGTGTGCAAAAATGTGAAGAATTCATTAAACAGGATGAACAACCCCAAATTTCCTTTGTAACAGGTTGAGCCAGGGCCCGAGTGTAATTAATTTTGCTCCCTTCAGAGTTTAAAGGAGGGTTAGAAAAACATCCAAACATAATACTGATCTTGATAATAGACTGACTAAGAGGGGCTGTAGTGGTTAACCTCAAAGGTTTTTTTCAAAACTCATTCTGAATGTGTTATTTTATTGCAATTTTATTATACTATAATAAAAATGCACATTTTGTATGCTTTATGATGCACTGCCTATGTTTTACCTCAATATATCTACCAGGAATCTGAAAACAATAGCAGCTTTGTTGGCTGGCCACTGTTGGTATCTCCTGTTGAGAATCCTCAAAACAGTGTGGAATGATTTCTTTCAGTGCGCTTGTTTGAAATGAGCCAGAGGAATGTTGCTCTCTGCTTGGTTTGCAGTCTGAGAGCTTTGCCCTCTGCCCTGGCGCTGACTTTTTCTGTGTGTCTGTGAAGTTGAACACACTCTCGTGGATGTCATGACACATTCAGAAACTGAGCTTTAATGTCAATGTGACTGAAGCTGCAGTGTAGTTTATATTGAAACACTTTAGAGGAGGGAGTTATAGTCGAGTGAATCCCACTGATGAATACATAGGACTCCTCCCACTGGAGTATGATTGCTTTATGATGATGTAACATGCAGAGATCTGATGCTGAATTCTGAAATATTGACAGAGGTGGGAAAAGTATTGCCTGCTGAGGTAGTAGGCACATTTAACATTTTTTTTAATATAAGGTGAAAATACACAGTGCATACAGTGCTTCAAAATTTGTTATGATGTGTTAGTTAAGCATGATGTCTCTTCTCTGCAGGGTTTGACTGGCCCTATTGGAGATCCTGGGCCCGATGGTCCCCTCGGACAGAAAGTGAGTGACTAATGAGCTCTTTGCTTTTCCTGCTTCAGAGACTGTCAGTGAAATGGTGCCAAGCTGCTGTCCAGTCTTTTGGCATGGCAGTGGGAGCTGCAGTGCATAAACCAATTCCTCATGACAAATGAGACTTAATCCTGCAAGTCTTCTGTGTAATCTCCGTGGGGAATGAAGCCCCAACATCGGTCCTCATTAGGCTAAACATTGCTGGGTCAAGTGTGCAAGTCATGTGATGAGCTGGAGGAATTTTAACTTGGACCGTCTGCAGGCTCACATACAGCTCAATTTTACCTGAACACAGTATTCCAGTATTTGTTTCAACACCTATTAATGTATCTAATGTATCTATCTTTATCTTTATTTATCCTTTAGGGTGAACCTGGAAAATCTGGACCTCGCGGAGCAGCTGTGAGTTGCATTTCCTCTCTAAACATATAAGTCCAAGGATCAGATCAACCATCACCATCTTTCTTGTCTTGTGTACATCTAATTATACATACACACTGACTTATACTGTATTTGTCTCTCTTTAGGGTGTTGGGCCAGATGGACCCCTCGTAAGTAGTTTGTTTATGCTATACAATCAATACCACAGTTTATAGTCCATTTTGGTTATCTTCCTCAAAAATTGTGTCAGTATTAAATACCTGAAATGTGACTTTGAACAGGGACTACCCGGGCCTGGGGGACTTCTGGGTGAAGTGGGAAAAGTTGGATCAGTTGTGAGTACAGCAGAGCACTGCACTGTTACTTTGCAGCCAGCGCCAAATACTACCAGCATGAGCCCTGACATATTCCATCATTACATTAAGTATATATAATAATAATAATAATTTGACTCATATTCTGTGCGCCATATACTGATACATATGTCAAAATGGACTGTATTTGATGTTTAAACATTATCTGATTAAATTGAAGATAGATTTCCACACATTTTATGGATAGCAAATCAACGCATAATATCAAATATTCAGCCCTTCATCTGACTAAATTGCCTCTGATAATGGTACTTTAGGTAGGTAAGATTTATTTTTGATTTATCTTCATTTAAATTTTGCCCTTTGGCTACTGTTGTCAGCATCCTCTTACACTAGATATCAAAGCAGTGATCATAAATATACAGTGGGTTCCAATCTGGGTTAAACTCTCATTGTGTCATAGATCATTTAAAGCAGCATCACCTCTACCTCTCTTACTACATGGAAAAGCAAATACACCTGCAGACTGGAATTTGTTTAAGAAAAGACAACTGAAAGGGATCTTCTGTTTGTTTATGGATGTTACTGTTTACTGAATGTATTTCACCACTGAGAACACTGATCCAAAACAATATTTTATTTAGGAAAACACCAATTCCTAATGAAATGTGGAAGCATGAATAGTTTCCACACATTGTAAGCTAGAAGTAAATTGATTCTTTTAGGCGAAGATGCTACTGTCATTATTCTTGTTGATAGAAATCTTCAGTATTCAGCAGTAATGGAGAGCCCGGCGCATTTATTCTCTTTGAGTAGTTTTTGGCACATTTTTTTTCTTTCCACAGGGGGCCATGGGTGTGAGAGGGCCACAGGGACCTCGTGGACCAACAGGGGCCAGAGTAAGTGACACAGCTTCATTTCACATCTCATAAGATTAACAACTGATTACATTTGACCTTATATTTCCCAAGGGAAAAAGCAGCAAGTAGCAAGTAATTTGGCCTTG